CAGAAAATGAAATTGATATATTCGATTAAGATATGTATAATATTGAAAAATGTCTATAAACAAGCGAAATATATAGACGAGATAATGTCTAAAAGACGTGATAAAACCGGTTTACCGACCAGCGGACGGAAACCATTGAATTCACTGGCGCCAACTAATCCGTTTGAAGTACTCTTCAGCAAGTGCCGCCGCTTTCTTTTACCGCCGTCGATGCCTTTCCTGATGCAAAACATTGCCGGAAGAGCACACTCTTGACTAGGCACTTGATGCGTAACTTTCTTGTCACGGCCAAGAACAGACGTTACACACTTTAGTAGCCACGAGTAGCAACTTCGACAGGAAATGATAAACATTATGCGCGCGTACATTATAATAAAAATTGACACGTGGAAACAGACACTATACAACCACGAACTTTACAAGATTGGTAACAAAGCGCGGGTAGGAAATTTTTCTTCCTAAATTTCTTGCTTTCTCTTCGAACTAAAGTTGTATGAAAGAAAGCGCGCTTTAAAACAGACAGCGCCTACAAGTGTAATTGTTATTCAAAGCTGGGATCTTTGAGGCCATTTTTCTACGTTCGCTTTTGCTTCGCGCAGTTTGATAGCAGCTATAACGCGGCTAAGGTTGGCCACTCATGAATACATTATCCTTTCTAACGAGGTGAATAGGTCAAGTAGATGGAGTCGCAGCGTCTGTCCATAAATCACTTAAAGGGCAAGCGAAATCACCCCATGTGCACAAGCCGGTTCGACTTCTCGTGCATCTGCTTCCGCTTTTTGTTTCGTAGCGTGATATCGACGGAAGGAACATGCCCCTCGTTCTTTATCTTTTATTCAACTTGTCGCAAAATTATCGTCGTTCTGGCGTTTTTTTTTTTTATCGTCCTCATATTCACGCGGCACATACGTGATGTCGCGTGTCGCATGCCATCGATGCCCGTTCGTGCGATGGAATAGCGATAATAACTCGCGACATGCAAATCGCAGATATCGTTTATGTATTTTGCTGTTTTCGCGGTACTTCTATAGAGGAAATTCAAATCCACCCGATATAATAACAGTTACACGCTTCACCGTCCGTAAAGTCGGCATATAAACGCTATCCAGCCAGAAATCAATTTTATGACGTAATTTAAATAATTTAAGTTCTCGGGGGACAGTAAATTGTCATCAATTGTCATCGGAAAATCGATGCTTTTATCACGCGATCGTTTGTTATATTGCAAATGATTTATTTCAATGTAGCAACGGTGATTAAGGTTGTGCTTACACTGGAAATGCGAGTGCGCTAATATTGATTCGCCGTAACACGACAGAAACGATGACGACCATAATTTATAATTCCCAGTGGAGCATTTGACTGAACATTATTAATTTACGCAGTCGGTTGAACATTAGGTGAATTTACATACAGTCGTACATTATACATCCGCATGTAGTAATTTTGCACACGATAAAGCACTGTCGTAGAAAGATTCTTATGATATAAATTTTGTGCAAATATTTATTGGAATTTTTAGAACGAATCCTTCAATCTTGAATTTCGAAAATTATAAAGAACAATTTATTTGTATAATCACAGTTATAAAATATCAATAATTTAAATATTAATCAGAATAACGAGAACAGAGATATCAATTTATACGTTATAATAAAGCCATATTTTTTATATCGTCGAGTAAACATTGTATAATATATTTACCATTTTATGCATTAATGAATTCACAATTTTAAATTTCCAATTTAATTATATTTAACGTGAAATTTTAAACGATACTTTTTACACTTGTGTTCGATATAATAAGCATTAAAATACATTTTACGTATAAAATCACGTTTTAAATAAATGTTATGCATATATTGGATACGCTACGTAAATAAGATAAAATATTGTAATAAAATAAATATATTAAAATAGAAGAATAAAGTATATTTCGCGAATTGTCTAATAATTTACTAATCTAGAACGTACGTTACGGTGCAGTGATGGTATTAATAAATACGAGAATCTTATTTTTTGTAAGAAACGATTTGCTGTATTTCAGTTTTGAAAAGAATCAAACTCTTGAGTAACATAGAATAAAACAATGATAGAATAACGACGAGTTGATGTAGATAATGACACTGACGCGTGCCAAGTGTAAATACAAAGCTTTGTAACCACATATAAAAATCAGAAATACATAGAGTCAACGTAAGAATTAGAGTAGAATTGTGAGCAAATTCCTCGACATTCACAATGTCTTTCGATTGTAACTACCAACGTTGCGTTATAATAAAGCTATTTACAAATTACAATACCTCGTAATAATCGTCATTCACGTCGCTCTTCAATATAATGTCATGTACATACGTAAAGTTCGATGCGCTACGTAATATCGACAATATATCGATAGTTACTAAAACTTTGGTTACGCAAAAATAGACGCAGATATATATATATATTTTTATATATATATTCATATGTATATATATATATTTATATACGTATGTATATATGTATATCCGAACTATATTCGCCTCCTTATTAGGGATTTGTTAGAGTTTATATACCTATAAACAAATGTACAATAATTACAAGGGAAGTAGGACATTGATATAATTTATAAATAGTACATATATAGTGATACATTATATCAATTATTTATTTCCCACGATCGCAAAAACGGAGAATACTTCAGTCGAAAGTGATGAAAACTAATTTTGTTGCACTGCAGTTTCTCGACCAATTTTGCGAATGAATAAACCGTTAAAAAATATTCCATATATTCATTTCTATGTTTGTTCGATATCCAAATATTTGTACCTGTGTGAATGCCAAGCAAAATACAATGATTACTTTAAACAAGGATTGTTATGGAATATACATTTTGAAACAATTAATCGTATTTTTTAATAAGAAAAAAAGAACATAAATATTAATTTGCACACATTGACTCGTCAAAAAGAAAATATATACTATAAAATATATAAGAAAGAATAAAAGACAATATTTACATAAGATTTTGGAAATCTATATCACGTTTGAAGATTAACAACTCGCAATAATAATACTAATAACAATATAATTCAAACATAATTTATAAATAAATTTCGCGTTGAAATACGGAATGTATTTTATACATTCTTTTTTTTTTAGAGCATAAACGCAAGAAAACCTCGTTACGAAGTTTGTTTTGCACCAAATTAACGTAACTTTTTGTATGCAGCAGATTTTTCGTTTCCCCAAACGATTGAAGTAAAACACACATGACAAAATGTATATTTATCCGATTACGACGATTACTTTCGTTCGAAATAAAATCCCCGTAATTGCGCGTTCATTAACAAATTCTAGTCGCACACATATTCGCACGCGTATAATCTCTTTTCGCGGAGGCTCATCGCATTCTCTCCCTCTCTTTCTCTCGCAACTTTCTCACTCGGAAATCACAGTTAAACATTGGTTTTTCGACGTTTGGTGTGGCACTCGTCATCCGATACTGAGAGGTACGTCCGACAGAGCAGATGGACAGAGAACGAATAAAATATCGAAAAATTTACTCTCTCGCGCGTCACGCAACTTTTAATCGTAAATTAAAATCTTGTCGGCTCTCTGAAAGAGTTTATTAGTTTAATAGCACTGTTAAATTGCACACATCCAAAGGTACGGCCTGTCCGACGGCATTGCCGTTTAATGCGGGCTTTCGTCATAAATTCGTCGCTTCTGGTCTAAGCTGATACGCGGGGATTTGTTCTCGATGCTTTCAGCAGTAAACAGTATAAGAGAATTACGAGTCTGAAAGATAGTGTCGAATAGCAGACGAAAGCAGTCAACTCGGCGATGTTCGCATTAGGCGCGTTTAACCCTCGGACAGCGGAATGTTTACAATTGCATGGAATGCGCTACCTGAGTCCTTCCGCTTAACCGTATAGTACAAGTTCATTCATTTTAAATATATCTCTTTTACATTTTGATTTTATTGTAAAATTAAATTACTTTGCTACGTAAAATAATAAGAATACAATTATTGAATAGAAAAATAAAATAAAATTAACGACTTTAAGACTATAAAATATAATTCTAATACATTTTACAATTAATTCTAAACACGAATGAATTTTATAAATTCATTGTTGCTTCTCATGCATTATCGATACTGCTGAACGAGGGTTAATCGTCCTAAAAGTATTTCAAATGTAACGACAAGATTGAATCATTACTCTTGCAAAGCTGAGGTAGGCATACGCGATAACGACAGTGTTTTATTTCTTTGAGAATAAAACAGATGAAAAGATATATTACAACACTTTTTCTCGAAAATAGCACTCGTGGAGTAGAATGCTTCAATACCATCGGGTTATATTTAAAAAAAAATTAGTATTTATTGAAATATATTTTAATATCTATAAAATATATCGAGTTTGTCCGTGGCAACATCGAAACAGTAATGATTCGCACCTAAGGATAAGTAGAGGATGTTTCGTGTGCATATTACTTTCAAATTCTATTTATTAGATTTTCAATCATACGGTAAAAAAAGCTTAGCGTACAGCTTGCGGAAGACGCACCGAGTATACTATCGCGTAAACCCAGAGAAAAAGACAAGAGTGATGGCAACTGTATAAGTGATAATTATAACTTTTGTACGCAAAATAAATATGTATAGTTGCGTGAAAAAAAACTATTCTATAGTTATTGTAACAACTGTAAAATAATTTGTTCAACTATATACATTAATTCTACATACAATACGTGTATAGTTGTCACCTGTATAGGTAGTTGCTATCAGCAAGTTTTTCTCCAAGTGTAATAATCGAGAAAAGAAAACGTTCCTACCGCTTCGATATCCGTTTTATGACTCCAGATTTCTTCACGAGATTCCGTGCGACAAAAGCACCGCGTATAGTAGAACCGATGCTCTTCGTTCACGTACTCGAATCCGTAACAGAATCACAGTTCGCCGGCCGACTTGTCTCGGAAGCGTTTGGCTCGCGAGAACGCTCATCGCCGAGAACTCATTGGTGCATCCCGGAGGTAGCGCCTAGACGGGACCCGTAGATAGAATACGGCGAGAAATACGCCAGTCCGGCGGTCGCGTGTGGATGCGGCGGTGGCGGTGGCGGCGGTGGAAGCGGCAGCCCGAGCGTCGACAGAGACGGTGTCAAGAGCGGCGAGGGTTTCCCATAGGGATGGTAGCGCGCGGTAGCGAGCGGACTTAAAGGCGGCGTAGGGTAAGATCTCGCGAACAGAGGATGAGTCGGGTGCAGCGCCGGGGGTGGTCCAGGCAGTAGGGAGAGCGCGGCGGCCGCGCTCGCGGGATCGGTTGCGCCGCTCGCTGACACGTTCGTGTGACTTCTGAGATGCTGCAGCAACTCTTCAGACGTACCGAATCTCTTACCGCAGTACGCGGTATCACCCGCGATCCAGTTGCATACGTAGGGTAGCTGCGTGCCGGCCAGTGCCGCCAGCTGCGCATGCGCGTAAACCAGGGAGCCGTAGGGCGAAACACTGCCGGGTTTGTGATCACATTGAGCGCACCCGGCCGGACAGGAAACCGGCGTCGCGCTCGCACCCGACGGCAATTTGCCATTGGCGATGCTGGCGACTGCCGCTGCGGCCGTCGCGGGGTTCGACAGGAGGTGCGAGTTGAGCTGGCAACCGGTGCAGAATGGATCACGGCATATCGGCATCAGGTTGTCGGCTGGTCCACCGGTACTTTTCAATCGTGCGTAAAGATAGGGGTTGATGCCGTTCTTCAGGGCGGCGTGATGGGACATGAACGAATTGGCCATCACGTCGATGGGTAGCTGACCGGGACTGTAGCCCAAGTAGGCGGCGGTGGAGACTGGTAGACTGACGCCAGGCTTAAACGTGCCCAATGGGAGATCCTTGATTGATGGATCGGCCATAGCGAGCACGCTGACGGGACTGTAGGCGGGTTTCACTTGTAACGAGGGACTACTCACGGTTGGCTGACTCGTGCAAGCGTCCGCCGTACTCGACGGCACCGAAGGCGCCGAGCTTCTTGAAGCCGGCGAGTCCCGCGTAACCTCGCCGTTTGGTGTTGCTGTTTTTCTACCTTGCGGCGTGACCGCGCGCGTTGACGCGGCACTTTGATTGCTCGGGCATCGTTTGCCGCCGTTACCGGGCGTCCTCGATCGTCCGGACGTCGAGTGGCTTGACGTCGACCGCGACTCGTCCGGCGTGCACGTCTTCTCACGTCCCAGGCACGATTCGTATGGCTTGAAACTAGTCTTCGTGGACTCGCTCGCCGACGTCGGCACCGTGGCTGACACTGTTATCGTTGGCGAGGATTTCTCGCGAGACTGCTCCGCAGTTTTGGATGATCTGTTACTCGATGTCTTGTCCAAGGAACTTAGTAATGATTTGTTGGACGGTGGATCCGCTCCTATCTGACTACAGGTCTGTGCGAGCAGTGCGAGTGGACTTTTCTTCGCATCCAGCTGAAATCAAAATACGGAGGATGTTTATAAAATAAAAGTTTTGCAATTCTGGAAGGGATATTTATATACATATATTGAGAAAAATGACAAGTTGAGTTTTCGAATATTCTGCTGATCTTCGATACAAATGTCATGTTGAACAATTATTTTTCTTACACTTAGAAAAAACGACATAGTAGTAGTAATTAAATAGATGACAATTATACAAGGTTACATCTACAATTAATATACATACATAGTTGTAATATCTATTAAGTGGTGTATTCTCAACTATATCAACATTAATTCTACATATAAAATTTTTGTATTGGTATCATTTATATAGTTGCTACTATTATATTTTTCTGTTAGTGTAGAATGTAGAATATAATCTTTTAATACTTTTACAAACTTATTATGTATTGCTGCAATATCTTTACTACCTTTTAGAACTGAACTAATTATTTCAAAAAGAACGAATTTTTCAACATAATAATTTTGACACTCTGTTTTATTATTTCGAAATTCAATAATAAAAAGCGTGTCAACGTTGATTGATATGTAAAACTTTCTTATGTTTATAAACACGATAATACAATCGTTAATATCAATTGACTCGGCAATAATTAATATTTGTCGGTTGTGAATCTGATCGTTTGACGAGTTCGACCTGTTTTCGAAATACGTAACGTTAGTAATTTAAGTGATTTTCGACCGACTGCTACACCGCAATACACGATCTGACAACCCTCGAAACTTGGCGCGTGACGCGCCTGGATGAAGGCAAGTCCAATTAATGACGCGCAAACCGCAATCTGTAGCGCCGCGTCACTCTTTCGACGAGCGAGAAGTGACGTGGATAAAGGGTGCGTCGGACAAACTTATCCCACGAAACGCCCGCCCTTTTGATTTATTGAGAAATTTTTTACGCGAGCGACGTGTCCCCGAGATTTTTTCCTAACGACCTGTCAACGTTGAAATTGAATTACTTTCACTAACAATGATAAATCCCGTAGATATTAATTCTGAACTTATGTACTTGTGAAATCGCGATTGTGTCCATTTCTATCGATGTAGATTAATTTTAACCCTTTTGTCAATGCATAATTTTTCACTTTTCCACTATTATGTTTTACAGGTAAAAATGTAAAAGTAAAAACCAGAAAGAATCTATGCTATCAAAACTGTTTTTTTTTTTGTTATTCAAACGGTGAGGTTTTTAAAGGACCGTAACGAAATAACAAAAATATTATAAAAATATTTATTGTTTAAATATCAGATATATAGGCACTGCAGTAACTGCGTGTGTTAAATTGAAAATAAAAAATTTTCTGTATAAAAATAAATGTTATGTGCATATGAAATAGTTCGATAAGGTTCATTTATATTTAATACGCAATTTTCTAGTTTAAATGAAAATGTTTTCATTTTATTTTAATTATTATTTAAAAACATGTCTACTTAATATTGAAGCATTTTTTTTATCTAAGTTTTAAATTACTGCTAAACTGTTTGTATTACTTTCAAATACAATGTAGACAAATCTATGATTATTTAGTAATATCCTTAAAATTCGATCCGTATGTATTGATAGAAGGCTCAATTTCAGTTATCTTTTTTTAATTATTAAAATATAGAAAAGGATAAAAAGTAAATTATACCGAGATTAAAGTGATTTTCTACTTTATTAATAGCTTACTAATTTTTAATTTTACTAGTTTTAATCATCTACTGAAGTTAATTCTATAATAAAAATATTAATGATCAGCGGATAAACAAGAGAAGATATTTTCGCGTGCGCGTGATTCCTATAAATCTGGAATATGACACGTCAATGGTGCGGAACGACGATCATCCGCGCGGAATCTTTTCTTATCTTTTTGTTAAGAACGAGATTCACCGGAGAGGAAGGGGGGGGGGAGATATAATCAATGTGCTATTGCCCGATACAGACGTCATTAGCGTGTAAGTGCGGGGAATTTAATATCGGCGCCTTCGCGCATCTCCCGAAGTGGTCACGATGATGCACTCGCTATAATTAACGTATAGAGAAGCGATATTTCTCGACGACTGATACGTCCACCGAACAGATGTTCCGCCGTAATTAAAATGCAACGATCATGCAACACTAACCCGCCGTCGCCGCTCACGGTCGGGTCTCTGTACTAATGGCGCGACGCCGACAGATATTAATGCCGTGAATTGCAACAGGCCATTACGGCAACGCGAGGCTATATATTAATTGCGCTCGTGAAAGTTAACGGGAACGTTCGAACGTAATATTTTAATCCGCTAATTCCGCCCGCCGGCTTTTGATTGTCGTGGCTAATTTATGCCCTCCGAGACAAGAGAAACTTCCCTTTGTTCACGCTTTACGTGGCTACTGCTGAAATCTTTCGAATGCGTATCCTTTTTTTTTTTCTATGATCGAGTTACTTGCAAATTTTTTGCAAGTAGGAAGCATCACTTTCACAAAAACTGAAAAAATTGTTGTGGGACAACAGGAGATGTATATATATATTTTTTTTTCGTGAGATTTAGATACGTCGAAGAGAATAGCCGGTGCTTTGCCTTTGTTTTGAATTGACCGGTGGTCCAGCTGTTGCGGGACAGTTTACAAAACGATTTTACGAACAAACGATTTTGCGATTCTTTTGTGTTCTTTGCGAAGCAATATTTCAAATTTAATTATTTATTCATTACATTACAAAGTCAATCAGGCGCAAGAAAACTTTTACGTCTTGTAAATATTAGAGATTTAAATTGTCTGAATATATGCTCGCATTTTTCTACATTGTCGAACTGATTTTTCTGCGAGCACTGCTTTCGCGAAATGCTGAAAAAAATCAACATGGGAAACCAGAAGGTATTTTTCTTTCATGAAAATTAGATGTCGAATATAACCGCTCTGCTTTACTTTTCCTGAATTTAAATAGTCCAGTTACTGCGGAACAATTTATAATAAATGATTTTATGATCTTTTATATTCTTTGTGAAGCGGAGATTGCACATTCATTTATTTATTCATTACATTACAAATTCAATTACATGCACCACACCACACACATATACACATTCACATTATTTTTACGTTTTTTTTTTATAAACATTAGGGAGACTCGAATCGTCTGAATATGACTCATATTTTTTTATATCGTCGACCTGATTATTTTTTACAAATTTTAAGCACTGCTTACGCGAAACATAATCACGGAAAACCAGAGAAGGTATTTTTTTACACCAACTGTCGAAGAATACCGCCGCAATGCTTTGTCTTTGTTCTGCATTTAAATGATCCAGCTACCGCGAGACAGTTTATAATAAATGATTTTACGGTCCTTTATATTCTTCGCGTAGCGGAAATTGCAAATTCATTTATTTATTCATTACATTACAAATTCAATCATGCGCACAAAAATTTTTACGTCTCTTATAAATATTATACAGATCTGAACCGCTGAATATAAGAGTACAACACCGTCAATGTGGCCGTCTGCACCGAAAAGCCGATTGAACGCTCTATTCCACTCGCTTTTCCATCCCTCATCCCCCTCCCCCCCCC